TACTTATTTTTGCACTGACCAATTTTATTAGTCTATTTCTCTCTCCCAACTCATATGACTCTTTTACTAATAGTGAAAAAACTCTTTATTTAAAGTAATCATAGCAATAGAATAAAATAATATGAAAATAGTATGAAATAAAATGATAATATGAAATAGAATAAGATATTATAAAAATAGTATAAAATAAATACAGATAATATAAAATAAATATGAATATGATTTATAAATCAATTATTCAATTAAAATAAACTATAAAAAGTCATGTGATATACTAAAATTCATATCACAATACTATAGAGAAAATATAATTATAAAGAGATTTTTTTATTATATTTATATGTAAATGGAAAAGCAAAATAGGGTGATTATAAAGAGGTATAATTATAAATGGATATGATTATAGAGAAATTTGACTGTATTATTAAAGTTCTATTAAATAAGAACTTATTAAACTTCTAACTAAATTATTACAAAGTTATTATCAAGTTAAGTTATTTTAAATCACTAGTTAAATTATATTGCTTTTATAATATTTAATAATTTTACAAATACTACTTTTACTATAATATTATTATTATTACTTTTGCTGGGATCCAATTACTTGCTTTATTAGTATCATATTATTAATTTAGCTAGAATTATATTATTAACTTTGTTATAATCATATTACTTGTTCTACTATTTAATATTAATGAATAAGATCTCTTCTAGTTAGTAGTATCCAATAAGATATTAATAAATATTATTCAATAGTATTATGATATGAATTGTTCAATAAAATATAAGATAATTAATATAATAAAAGTTCATATCATAACAGTACAAAGAATTATTCTTTCAAACTTTTTTTATTATTTATTTTTCTTTATCATTTTATACTTTCACTCTTATATTATTATTATATTTTTGAATTATTATAATTTTTGTAGAAATTAGTATAGGACTTAGATATTTTTCTTTTTTCTTAATATTTTATTTATTGTTTAATACTCTCTTCCAATCCAGTTTCAAGTTTGTAAGCTAATTTAACAATTAGTAAACAAGCTTGTAACAATATGTATATACTCCTTTGCTCAAGTATTACTAAAACAACACAACTTGTTATTCTTTTCTTTTTTTATATTACAATTACATAGCTAAATTAAGAAATAATTATTTTCTATATAAGAACAATTGGTAACAATATATAAATTTATTAAAAATTCCCGCGAGCAATTACATTGACATCATTTTCGCTTGGTTTGAATAGTCAATGTAGTTGGCAATTATTTATAAATATACTGTTAGATGAGAAGAGGGATATATACTTAACAGAGAAATTAATATTAATTATTTTATTATGGTGCAATAAATTATTTCTTTAAAGTTTAAAAGAATTAATTTTTTTAATCGTATTGTTTCGCTTTTGTTTTATGCAAATAATTACGGCTTTAAATCATACACCTCCTCGCCTTGTCCTTTTGATTTTCGGCGTTCGTCGAAATCATGTGTGCTCTCATATTTGAATTCTTCATATATGTCTTTTTCCGGAAGGAATTTCAGCATTAGGATTTCGACTAAAATTGTGGCGAGCGACTGTTTTTATCAGTTTGTTGATTGATATTCAAAATATTATTGTTAGTATTATCCTTAATAATCATAATTAATTAATTTAATCATTACTTACAAAAAGAGCAAAACCAGCCACAATATTTTGCAATAAGGAAATGAAATCTAATTTTCCTATTTCTCCGTATTGTTGAAATACTAATCGAATACTAATAATTAATAAATAAGTAAATAACATATTAATAATATATAGCTAAAAAACAATAAGGCTATCACATACCCATGTCTTTCTTTGATTATGTATCCACCGTTCTGCTGATTCAGACTTTCAATGGATTTGTACTCATTACCATCAATAACTTGCGGATAATATTTGTAATTGATGGTCTCTTCCTATTTAATTATTATTATTATTAAATCAAAGGTCAGTTGAATTTACATGTAAGAATAACAATTACCTTAAATGGTACGTTTTTGTATTGGATCACTATGACAATAACTATCCCGGATGATCTGTATGTCTCCTTAGCCGCACGATCAGCGCCAGGTGCAGTTGAAGGAGCTTTAATTAATCAAATCAAAAAAAAATGATTAATCGTTATTCGAAATTAAAAAGTAATCATTGCAGCTAAATTAAGGCTTAAGCAGGTGTCGTAAAGTTAATTCGAATATTCTAAACTCAATCAGGTCCCAAGCACTAAATGTTTTATATATACCTTCCAGATCTGCACCAGCTGCCGCCAAAAGCTCTCCAATTGTCATAATATCTCCGTCTGCGTTAGGATAATCAGCTACCTAATTTAATAATAAAGTATAAGTTGATAAATAATTGTATATTATATATTATATAATCATTATTATCATTGAAGAAGAAATAGCTCACATGCCCGAGAAATAAATAAAGATATTTACCCTTGTCTTATTTGTCCATTTTTTAACAGTAACCCCTTTAGTATTTACAAGCTCACCGTCCATTAGACCATTGCGTAAGCCAATAGAAGTGACTTGTCCTCGAATTGAATGTTCGATCATCATCTAATTACAAATAATTGTTATATAATATTTCCGAAGACATACATATTACATACATATACTGTATACCGTGTAATTTTCTATATTGGCAATATAGGCAAAAGGTATGGGTGAAGTATAATTTGATTTTTTAGGATCGAAAATACAATTTGCTCCTGAAGGGTTAAGAAAATCGCAATTTTCTGGGGGATCATATTTTTTGACTTTTACTCTTGTAGAAAATAATGCAACTCCTGCTCCATCATTAGGATATTGAACTTAAAAAAAATTGAATATTTTCAATAAAAAAATTCGAAGTTCATTAACAAAAAAACTAATTGATTAATTTACATACTTTCATTTGCCCCCCAAAAAACGCATTTTTGACCATTACAATAAGGAGAGTCAGAAAAGGTTCGCGGTGCTTCTAATGAAATTCTTACCGCACCAGGTACTGGAGGTTCCTAAATAAACAATTATTATTAGTTACCTTGATAAAATTTATAAAGTTATTAAATAATTGTATGAATAATTCACCTTTTTGAAATATCCTTGCTGAGATATGATTGTATAGATAATGTAGGCGAAAATAGCCACTTGAAAGCTACGATAAATGGCACCAAGACGTTTACTTTAAAAGGAAATTGAAATAAGATTATCATGTTAGTTCAAAATAAAGAAAGCAACGCGTGGGGAGAGAAAAATCGCTTACTCCTGAACTTTAACAATTTTAAATGTCTCGTAACTAAATAAGTATTTGAGTTAGTATCAGTTTTGTCAAAACTTTAACAACTTATCTGAAATACTTTAACGTATACCTAAATAGACCATCCACGATACCTTTGAGGTTAACCATCTTGAATGGTTTGTTTTACGAATCAACAACGGCGCAAAATACAAAAACTCAATTATATGGAGAGAAAATAGACAGTGCAAACTCCTATCGTTATATAGAAAGTGGTTTAGTAGCGGTAACAAGTAAAATACGTATATCGATATTTTTAATACAATACATCATCTTAAACACGTTCACAAATAGATAAGCAAATTTTTAATGTACAAAAATAAATAACGATAAACAATTTGAAAATTATTACTATATAAAGTTAGAAATATACAATGATTTGAATTACATGTCTAAATTTGATTATCTGTCTAAATTTGTCTTCTATATGATTTAGTTACAGGCGATATTATTGATAACACTTGACATATTTCGATGTGCCAAGAACTTTAATGTGCCAAGAACGATTGCAAATGGCAGGCACAATGAAAAAAATGTTTGGTGTTACCGAGAAAATCTATACATGATGTGAAGCAATCCATGCGAATTTTTAAAGTTGGGTGACAAATCTAATGTTATATTACCGTAAATGGCCATATAAAAGACCTCGGGTCTGTTACATTCTACGGTTTAGAAGCCTGTATTATACTCGGGGGCTATTACACGGAATGCGAACATCCACTATCGCTATATAAACATAATTTTTCTACTTTTAAAGAATGATTACATTATTCAACTTTATACAATTTATATAATAAACCTGGTTTTATTGAATTTGCTGTGTTAATAGTTAATAGCCGAGATTTTGCACCGGTCTACTATTAGAGGGGATCTTTTATATTGCCATTTATGGTATTGTAAATTATTTAGGATTTTGCTAACGCTAATCGAATTTTTTGAAAGTTATTTCTTTTATTTATTATTTGTTGATTCACATGGTACAATAATATGCAAACAAACAATAAAAAAGGAATTATTAATTTCGTGCACCCTGCGCAGCTGTAATATTAAATAGAGTTTCGGTTAAGGGTTCGGGTTAGAATATAATAGTAAACTTTCACAAGGACCATTTTTTGTTGAACACCAAGAGCAGTTTCATAGGCAAACTTTCGAGATAAAATCTATTTTTCAAAGCGTTTGTTTTTGAAAATTTTGCGTTACACACTGATCTTGCGATTTTATTGGTCAATCAATTTTAAGAGGCTTGTCGAAATACACCGAGGGATACACGGCTGTGCAGGTGCACATCTTTAATAAACAAAAAATACATAAAAAGAAATAATCATCAATATCCATTTATGGAACAAATCATTGTACTTTTTTAGGTTTTTTTAATTAAATTTCCTAATATGGGGTTTCCATAAAGTGATAATGTTCCTAGTGTTTAAAGCTGACTAGGATGCGCCAGCGCATAGTCAGCTATCTGATTCAGTCGAGCTAATTTCTTCGATGCGGCGCAAGTCGATCTCTAAAAAATTTTTAAATTAGAAATGATTTATAAGGTCAGGGTAAGGGTAAGGATTAGAGTTAGAGGACAAGGCTATATATAAAATTGCCTTCCTAACATTTTTAATTAGTATTCCAAGACAGATTTAGCATCGGTTTTCTTGTAATATTCACATTTTTCATATCTTGTGTCGGATTTGTACAAAAATTTGCGCACCCCTATTGGATGGATTACTCTTTAACACATCCCCTAAATTAGTAAACTTATGTTATATAGTTATTTATAGTTTAATTTATGTATCGGTATTACAATACATATATATATTGGTGATAATTATAGTTCAAAAGTATCCGACCCCTCCTAACTTGCTTTAGATCATTCGTAATCTTCCAAAAACAAAGAATCACACAAATGCTGATCACTTATATCTTTTATAGGTTGTTTTGTTAGAACTTTTTTGGGTATTGTATGTTCATAAACTTTCATTGTCCAAGTACAATAAATCGGTCACTTTAGGACAAAATATCTTGACGTTTAGTGATCCGATTTGAGCAAAAAAAACTACCATTCGATTTGCATAATCTAGACAAATCAAATGGTGTTATTTTCACTCAAATCAGATTATTGTATGTCGAGATATTACATCCTAAATCGATCAATTTTTCATTAGAAATTGATCGCCAGAAAAATGAATCGGTCAATTTAGGGGGTTGGCTAAAGCCTGGTGCGTAAACTTTTGTCAATCACCAATAAGAATGCACAAATTTTTGATCAACCCGGCAAAACAAATCCGACACAAGATATGAAAAATGCGAGAAATGTGAATATTACAAGAAACCCGATGCTTAAACCTGTCTTGGAATACTAATTAAAAATGTTAGGAAGGCGATTTTACCTCTAATTTTAACCCTTACTCTAACCTTATCGGTTGCACGCGGAAAATTTAGAGGAACTGAGTCACATGTCCACCAGGCTTTCCCAATTTATTTTTAATTTAGGAAGCAATATCTCAATCTCCGCATAAATAACGCACCACTTGCATCGCTAATCATTGATCACCTGATTTTCACTCATGCAATTTGATGAACGCAAAAATAATAGACAAATAACATCTAATATTATGCTACAGATGGTAAATAAACAGACATATTGTTATGTCAGTTCGTCTATAGTCTATAATCCATGTCGATCCGCCAAAGTGGTGGTGTGTTTTTTTTGTCATTTTTATCAAGAATGTAAAAAATATGCTTTGATTCTTTTTGAACATATAAAATCAAAAAGTTTTATAATAAAAAAGATTCCTTAGCATGTATTCTATTAGAATTAACTATTTAAGTAATATAATAGTGGGCTTTTTAGGACAATTTCGGTGTTTTTTTTTTTGGTTAAATTTAATCTTTCTATAGATTTAAGCTTTTTACCTTATTCTTGGTAACTTTTATATAAGTATGTGAAATTCGATTTTTTAACCAAAAATACACCAATTTAACCAAATATAAGTTATCTTATTTGATTACTAAAAAGTTTTCTGTCTCGGAGGAGCATAGCGACTCCGGATGCGAAGCATAGTTATCTATTTAGTTAACAATTAGCTTTTTATTACTGCGAAGCAGTAGCATTCTTTAAGTATTCTTTTGATAAAGGGTATAGTAAAAATATAGATTTTTTCTTTAGAACAATTTCGGTATATTTTTGGTTAACTTTACTTAATATTTATAACCCACCTGGAAGATCCTGATGCGAAACATAGTGAAGCATCTATCCCCACCTGGAAGGTTTTTGAGACATTGAACATATATCCATGTACCAAAAAATCATGTATCAAAAATAGATAGTAAAAAATATGATTAAATTTTTATTTCAAAGAAATGACACTTTATGTCCAAGATAATTTCGATGTATTTCTGGTTAAATGTAAAGGGAACCTCATTACTTTGCAGTCCCATAAGACGACTCTCTGAGTTATAATAAATATCCAGATTTCTTCTCGGGCACTACCCAAAAATTTAACCAAACTTTTGTTAAAGGAAATTAATGAATAGCTATACATTTGCATTGTCAAAGGTAATTATAGAATGGCTGTTTTCTATACTATGTGCTTTTTCACGAAGTCTTTGATAATAGGATGCAACATAATATTCTCTCTTATGAATTTTGCATCATCCGCAAGCAGAAGCAGTTGGTTTCCCACAATCAGTACAAGGTACACGTTTTTTTGTCTTATAATGAAGACGGCATCCCTCAGGACGTGTACACAAAGCACTACAAATCTTATATATTGGCACGTATATTCACCGATCATATTTGATTAGGATAAATAATTAATTAAAGATTTTTATAAAGTAATATATAATACTTTTTATACACAATGGTTAAAAATACTACTTGCAATAGATGTGGTCTAAAACTATCTACATATCAAAAGTATCAACAATAGCAATCCCTGCCGACCTAAAAATCTTCCTCAAGCTCCTGTGGAAAATCCACCCCCAGCTCCAACGCAAAATGCACCAGCTCCAGAGGGCGATCTTATTTCGTTCGATGAAAACCCACCGACGCACCAGGAAAAAGCGCCGGCACAAGACCCAGAATAGAACGAAGTAAAACTATTTTGATCTATAAAAATATAGCAAATGGAATTGAGTTTTATGATGGAAAAAGAAAATGGTATGGAGTCAAAGATGACTTTCATGCATTATATAACAGATATCATTTTATTAAAGCCAATAATAATGAAACAACTATAGGAGCATATACCAGAATTAATGACGAGTCAGAAGCTATTGCTAAAAAAACTAGAGGAAAAATTGATATGCGTAAATTTGGAAATTATACATTAACCAGTATAAAACTTTTTAAAGAAACTAGTCTAGCTCCACTAAAAAGTGAAAAAATAAGTGAACAAGAGAATGCATGGATAAATTTAGCAACAACTGGTGCTTTAGTATTTGCAGAAAAATATGATGGAGAAGCTAATCAATATGATATAAATTCAATGTATGTATTGTATATGAAATGTTAAAAAAAGAAGCGTCATGGCCAATTATCATTATTACAGGTAAGTTTCATACTATAAATCCATTATTTGTAGAAAGTTGGAATAAATTGCCATATGGGATTTATAAAGCAATAATCGAAGAAAATCCTCCAAAGAAAAGCCTCCAATATACAAGATATTTGCGATATAATTCACACGGGATTTATACGCATTTTGATTTAGAATGTGTCAAGGAAAATGGTTTGAAAGTATATTTAATAAATGAATCACCAAACGCACTTATATATGAAAAAAATATACGAATAAGTGGAAGTGATATGTTTGGTAAATGGGGTAATATATTATACAACATTAAGAAAGAAGGTGGAACAGCTGGAAAAGTAAGTAAAGCATTATTAGTTTCATTATGGGGTGCCTTATGTGAACAAAGAAATGGATAAAATTATGGAGCACATCCACGAATAAAACCCTTCTTGCTAGCATCAGCTCGAAAAACAATATCAGAAATTGTAAAACCTTTAGGAAATCAAGTAAAACGAATTCATACAGATGGATTTATAGTTGCAGGACGAGTGAATCTCAAAACAGGTATAGAAATGGGTGAGTTAAAACTTGAAAAAAGAGGAATTTGTGTGGTAAAAAATTGTATAACAGTTATATGGAAACCGCCATATCCGGAAATTCTAAATTTGCTCACAGGTAATATTATATCAGACTTCAAACAGGATTCAAAGTCGATACAGATTATACCTAAAAAAAATACCTAAAAGAGGCATCTCTAAAAGAATGGATGTAAATCTTCCGAATGAAACTATGATAGAAATATTCCGATATTTACAAATACAAATTATGTGCTAATAACGAATTATGTATTGTTTCCAGTTTTATATGTTAATAAACGATGGAATGAATGTGTAACATATTTATTATGGAGAATAGCATTATATAGATACAATATTAAAAAATTTGTTGAATTGATTAAAAAGAAACCATTACCGAATCCAATAAAATATATCAGACAAATAGAAAGATAATTATTATAATATAAATGAATTTCTATTACTTAACAATAATTCATTAAAGGTAACATTGGATATATGTAATAATTTAAGGCATATAATTATTTATGGAAGTAATCGATTAGCACCAAAAACAAGCTTAAGTATACCACAAAATTGTGAACGAATAACAGATGAAATAATAGATAGCAAGCAAATATCCAAAAATTGTAATTAATATACCTACCAATTCATTTATCGATAGAAAGACAGGCTGATAACAAAATTTAGTAATCTATCTTTCTATAACTTTATTATTTGCTAGTAAGAAGTATTGAGTATATATTTTTTGTAAAACTCATATTAAATAAAACTTGTATTATATAAAACAAAATACAAGTATGACAGACAATGGTTCAAGTTTAATAAATGAGCAGGACTCAAGAGTTAACGATGCAGGATATTACATGGAAAATGATTGAATCAGCACAAATCAAAATAATAAAAGAGGCCTTTCGTCTTCGATATAGAAAAGATAGTAAGTTTATTAGTGAATATGCTGGATATGTAAAAAATTTACGTAATGCAGAAAATCAAGATGAGTATATAAAATATACCGCAATAACACTTTTCCCAAATAGTCAAGATATAGAAAATGGTATCAAGGTAAAAAGGAACTACTTACCAGTATAGAAGAATTATATAATCTTTATTATGAGCTATCCAAAAAGGATCGGCATATGACTGAGGAAGCTGTTGAGGATGTGCTTATAGACGAGTAATTTAGAAATTTAATACTGTTTAAGAATTCGTTGAGGTGGATACTCAACTTTCCCAACTTTCATCAGTTGTTCTCTCACAAATGATCTCCAATTTTCATCTGTAAGCCAGTATAATACCGTTGATTTTTTTGAATTAATGATTCCTTAATACGAAAAATTTTTGGGGACCAATTCATGTCAGTTATTCGTCTTTTGCCAAATTCTAATTATCCAGGTTCGAGTAAATATAAAACAGAATCTTTATAGCTTAACCGAGGTTCATCAAACCCGATAGGCCTTCGATGTTTAACAGAAGGATCAGCAAATATTTTTTCACCTTTTAAAGCTCTCTTTACGGCTTCATTAGGGGACATATGAATTAATCGGGTAGGAGTATCATTATAAATGTCATCATTAATACGAAGGCCTTTAACCCAAGATCGACATCTTTCAGATAAAGGTAAATGAAAATCAACAGCATCCTGTCGAATATAAGCATGTTTTTCAAACTCTTGATGATCACGTTCTGCTATTGATGTGCTACGTTTAGATTTAGCTTGTATAATTTTTACGCCATGACTAAGTAATAAATCTCTACACTCACCTAAGTATTCAGTGCCTTTATCCACAATTAAAACTTTTGGCCATGTAAGATAATTATTAGGATCTCCATAAATTGCTTTAAACATTTTAGCTAATGATGCAGAAGACTTATTAGTTAAAGCACAAATGGACTGCTACGTTTCATTGCATAAAAAATAGCAAAACATGGTGCCCTACTTGTTCAAATACTAGACTTGGTATTGAATGTGCCAAAGAATTAGCACTCAATAAAAATGGTGAATGTCGCTCAGAAAAATATGTTAATAATAAATCACCTTTATTATGGCGTTGTAATAAAGAACATGAATGGTATGCGAGCCTTGATAGTATAAAACGTAACAGGTGGGTCCAGATTGTGCACATAGAAGACCACTTACTCTTGAAATTGCATATAAAAAATATATTAATAATAATTTACCTCTATTATGGGAATGTGAAAATGGACATAAATTTCGTTCATCTCTTGCACACGTTAAAAATAAGGGCACTTGGTGTCGTGAATGTAAAAAATTTGGGCTTGAATTTGCTCAAAATCTTGCAAATAAAAAAGGCGAAATTTGTCTTTCTAATTCTTATTACAATAAACGTACACCATTACTTTGGAGTTGTTCTAAAAGTCTTTCATGGCTTGCCAAAATTAATGATATAAAAAGAGGTACTTGGTGTCCCTATTGTCGAAAAGAATCCGAAAGACTTGGTATTGGCTGTGCCAAAGAATTAACTCGTAATAAAAATGGAGTGTTTATCCAATATATACATCAACTGTCAAATGCATTTGCTCTGGAGATGTGATAAAATCATATTTGGTATAGTGCTCTTGGTAGCGTAAAGTATAGTAATACATGGTGTCCTTACTGTTCAAAATATAAAAGAGAAAATTTGTGTCGAAAGATTGTGTCAAAATATCTTGGACCGCCATCTAAGATACGCCGACCTGATTTTCTCAAAACATCAGAATCGCCTGTAGGATTAGAACTTGATATTTATTATCCGGAATGTGGTTTTGCAATCGAAGTACAAGGGCAACAGCATGAAAGATACATCGAATTCTTCCATAGAGGAGATCCCAATAATTTTATCAAACAGCAAGAGCGGGATCAGCTCAAGGAAGAATTGTGCGAAGAAAACTGGATTGTTTTAAGGTATGTTTGGTACTACGAAGACCCAAATATAGTTATTCCTGAGCATCTTCGAGAATTGGGTCTTATTGAATGAATTATAACTTTAAATATGATCATTACACACGCGTAAAATTCAAGCAATAAAAGATATCGAATGCATTATTTTTTTATAAGGCAAAATGTAGAATATATATTATCTTATTCCGCACAATATACGCACACGTTAAGAGAAACCATGCTTAATTAATTTTTCATTAGAAAATTAACATGTATACATATCAATGATGCAATACAAATCTACGTCCTATTCATAGAACTCACTTTGATGCCCTGTCACGGTCGCATAATAGGTTTTTACAACAATAATTGATCCGGACTAACTTCTTTACAACAGTCTTGTATTGTCATTCGTCATCACATTTTGTATTGATGTAGATTATTATCCGTCCCTTCCAAATTTTTATCGCTAGTCAAATTTCACTTTTTTTTAATAATTTACTTAACATTCTGTATTTTCGATACAAGAAATTGATTGATTTTGAATAATGAATTCAGCACAGTTTCTCTTTGACCAGGATTAGCTAAATCGAAACCACTCCTCAGACCATTCTTAGCTGGCCATCTTAGAATTTCAATTGACTGATTTTTCGGTAGACCTTTCTCAAGCTCCTTCCAATATATCGCAGGAATCTCAGTTTTATAAAATGCGGAAATGACACGAATGGCGAATATGGTCTGTTCTTTATATTCATAATCAATTAAACGCATATTTTCGTTCCCACAGGCGAGAATTTCTACAGCGATCTGTGATTCCACAAATCCGGAGTTTGGCCCGACATTTTTCAGATGTTTATCCTGCTTAAAAAAAAGGTTATCGAGTAAAGAACAAAATAACTTATTAAAAAATAACAACATACTGACTTCTACTCCAATAATAGCACAGTCTTGCTTCCTAACTAGGAATTCGGGGAGGTAATTATAGAGAAATTTGACTATATTTACCTGAAATTCATACTAGTATTCTTATAAATCAAACTCAAATCAAACTCAAATCAGATTCTTAATTAAATTTGTATTTATAAACTAAATTTTTAATCAGATTTGAATTTGGTTCAAGTTTAAATTGAATCAGACTTTTTTTCAGAATTCTAGTTTATACTTATAATAATACATTATATTATATTATATTGTGATATATATATTTTGATAACAATTATTTACTAATTCAATATATTAACTATATTTTTAAATATTTTTAATAGTTTTTTAAATATATAATTATGTATTAAAAGTTTTGTATAATTAAATATTTTTTTATAATTTTATAAAATTTTTTTTCAAAAATGAAATTTTTTAAAATTTTTTAATAACTTATTTTTGTTTTTGACAATTATTAATAATTTTATAATTAAAATACTTTTTATACTGTATTATATATAATATAGTTAAAATTTCAAAAAATAACACATTTTAAAAAAAATTTTTTTAATTTTATTATTAATAAATATTAAATAAAACCAAATTTAAATAATATTATATAAAAAATATTTAGTTTTATAATTTTCTAAATTTTTTATATATTTTTCAAATTGTATTATATATAGCAATAATGATAAATTTTGAGTTTATTTAAATTTTTTTCAAATAATTTTGATTATTTTTAACTAAAATTTATAATAAATTGAGATTGTTTGAAGTTATTTTAAGATTATTTATCATTACTAATATATAATACAAAGATCTAAATTCAATCTATTAATAATATATTAATAAAATTAATAAATAAAAAATATAAAAAATATTGATTTATAATAATATTAAAAATTAATATTATTACTTATTATATTTTAGAATTGGATTTGCTTTTTTATTATAATAAATATATTAATATTTGTATTATTTGTGAAAGATTTTTTAAAAGTAATCTTAATTATATTATTATCTTATATCTTATATTATAATAAAAATTGTTTATTATTTATTTTATATCTATTAATATATCAAAATAAATTAGAAAATATAATATAATATAATATAATATATCATTTAATAAATTAAAATTATAAAAATTACTGAGTTTCTTTAGAAATAAAAATATAAAATATTTTAAAATATATGTTTAATAAAACATATATATACTAAATTTTTTCAGAAAAAATATTGGAAATTAACTGGAATTATAAAAATGCTAATTCCAAAAATAATCTGGAATATAATAGGAAAAGCCAAAAATCCATTGAAAAAAACAGGAATTGTTATAACTGAATCAGAAATTTATTGGATTAACTGATAAATTTCCAGAATTTAAATAAAAAAATAAATTATTTATTTTCCTGAAAAATCTGAATAATTTCCTGAATCATTATTCTAGAAAATTTCCTGAGTTTTTTTAGAGGAATGCTATTAAATATCTTGAATAATGATATTGTTACTAGAATAAATTTTTGTTCTTAATTTCTGAAATGATAAAATGACTCATCATTTACGTGACACGCGCCAAATAGATGACGTATATATCGTGTCTCGAAGTGAAGCAATTTACATTCGCTGAATTGAAAGAAATAAATAAAAAATGTCAACTTCGCGAACATATCGTATTTTATGGTCACCACATCCAGGAATCAATAGATTCTTGATAGGTTCAAATGACTTGAAACTATATGAGTATAAGCCAAAGGTAGATAGAATTTCGTGAACTTGAATATTATCCGGGTTTTCTTCGTGTCAATGATATTAATTATACTTAAGAATAGGGACATGATGGAAACCCAACTCCAAAAATGATTACTGTAAATTCAGATCCATTAATGAAGGTAGGATGGGATAATAATCCGATCAATTGCATTGAAAGTTATATTATTTTTTCAACCTATCCATCTATATTATATAAATGTGAATAGTGTTTTACATGGTCACCCGATCCAAATTATTCAACTTTAATTGCGGTAGGTCAAACAAGTGGAAAAACACTTCTCATAAATATGCTCGATGACAGCACATTAATGGAAAACAGCAACTCGTCGCCATCAAATTTTATCAAATCACAAACTACCACAGCAACATCACAAAGCGTGTATTTACCACAGCAATCAGCAGCACAAACAAAATTTCAATTCAACGTGCGATACTCGCGAGCTTGTAATGTCGTGAGATTTTGTGAGAAAGAACCCCGTTTACTGGCAATCGGGCTCGACAAAGTTCGAAATGATAGCTCGTTATTGATTTGGGATGTGGAACAGGCGACCAAAGTGTCATCTTCAAATCCACCAGTTGGCGATTATAATAAAAGACAATACAGTGGGTCAAAAATATCACCTGATCAACCGATAAGTAGGACTGGTAGTATTAGTGGATGGAGTGACCGAAGTGCTATTGATATTGGTGCTGGTGGCGGTAGTGGTGTTGGGTATAATAATCGAATTATTAATGATGAATATTCACTTACGCCTGGTAATTTTTGGTTATTATTATATTGTTGATCACTCTTTCATATGTACAGTCATATTATTGCTGATTGATTATTTATAAAAAATTAGTATTAAAATTCTTAATATAATCTCAACTTCCGATACTAAAAAAAATTGGAAGAAATAACCATTTGAATTGGTTATACATATAATTATATTCCTTAGAATCCGCCACGAGATTTAACTATACCTTTCAAGAGACACCGATAATTTCTAGGCCTTTACCTATTGTTCCCACTTTATCTTCATCAGCTCCAAGGTGATTATCTTTCCTACTTTATCTAAATTAATTATATCCGTATTCATTATATCTATACATTATCTTCTGTATATTCTTAAAGCTATACGCGTGCAGATGATACAAAGCCTCTTCATTCATATGGCAACAACGAAACTGTTAATTCGTGTGCGTGGTTTCCGACAACTTCACGAAGGTTGGTGGCCGGAATGGCTGGAAAGTATCTTCGAATTTACGATTTGAGAGGTAAGCAAAAAATCTCTTTAATGTTATTTCATCGATTACTTCAGTAATTTTAATACTGTCAATATGATTTTATTCTTAAAGCGGAATCGTCAACTCATGTTAGTGCAGTATCAACTAAAGCCGTTTACGGTTTAAAAGTTGACACATTTAATGTGAATCGTTTCGCTTCTTTCGAAGAAGGGGGAACAGTTCATTTATGGGATGATCGAAAAATCAGCGAACCTATATCCTTTTTTTTCGTTATAATAACAAACTAAGATAAATAGCAATTTCAAATGATATTTCTTTGACGCGTATAATTATCAAATATTACGTTCTAAGCATCACAACAGAATCAAGACCTATCCGAGTTGCATTTTCACCCAAGCGTGCAGGATTACTCGCAGTCTTGGAAAAAGATTCGGCACATTTAACCTTGTACGATATCCAAGAAAGCAGCGGTAAATATATATACTCGTCACCGACTTTATCGCAACGTGCATTTTCTTCGATGAATCTTGAATTAGCAGCAGGGTCGTCTTCAGCATTATCAAGACAACAATCCATGACGATGAGTGGATATCCATCGTCTTCAATGATCGGCGGTATCTCGATGCTGGGCGAAAAGGGTGGAAATAATAATAATCTTAATAATCAATCAATTGAGAATTCCGAAGATGTCGATATGCCGATTCTTTGGAAATCTAGAAAAAGTATTGATCTATATTTTTATTGTTTTTATTTAAGCAATCAAAAAGTAAAAACAATTCTTTATGTATTAATTTTATCCATAGTAAAAGGATCGAAATCGATTATTTCATTTGCTTGGATACCGACAACATCCACATCTTCTTCATATCGAATCTTAACCATAAACAAAGATGCAGATATTGATACCATGTATCGCGAAGAAAGCTTACAAATATCATGGGCCCCACGTGGCAACATGATACTCGCTAGTGGAAGGCGAATCAAAATATATGACACCGAAACAAACAATGATTACGAAGATGAGGACGGAATCAGGAAGACTATTCATTATACACCAGAACTCGCCACTTTTAACAGTAGAACTGATAGTCTTTATCAAACACCTGCTATTAGCACTACAACTCCAAAGATATATAACCAAAAAAGAACATTGACAAGTGTACAACAATTTCAATCTCCTTTCCTTAGTGTTCAGCATGATAATGAAACTGAGAGTGGAAATAGGACACCGAGACCCGGTGATATTACTGCGAAAGATGCCGGTTCATTAGGAAAACGATTGCATGGCATGGCATTAGAGCAGCAGGATAAAACGGTTTATGAGAGAAGGATTTTTGATAATCGACATGATGATTTGTCACCTTGGGAATTGAGAAATGATATTTCAGTGATAATACGTGAGCGTGCAGGTCGAGGTTATTCTATGAATGTAAAGAGTTTTATTTTTTTTATTGATTGGTTGATTGGTTGGTATAAACTGTAAATTCATTTATTATGCTGTTTAGTGCATAACAAATAAAGATATCGTCCGAAATTTTCCTAAATTAATTGCGCTCTGGAATTGGATTTCTGGTAGTTTTTTAGGGAATAAATTTTTCATGATGAAAAATTCTGCTTAAAGCTTAGTGAATACATTTATATAGAAGCACAATCACGCGCATTGGAAAGTAACTCGCACATTGGTATCACAGACAATAGTTATCATGGTATTCACACCATTTGGCAAGGTAATTAATTATTCGAATATTGTTAAAGAAAACTTATTATCCTCTATATATTTATTAATATCAATATTATAGGATTATCATCATCTTCTGTAATGTCAACTCCTAAAGTTAATCAATCGCGATTCTTGTTTGGTGGCAGTAACAGTAAAAACAACAACAATAGCAGCAGCAATAGTAGCATTTCATCTCAAATACTTGACGCTAATGAGATTCCATTTGTGCAAACATCTAAACCTGCGCAACGCAAATTGTCACTATCCATTTGCGGATGGGGTTTTGGCAAAAAAGAATTAGAGGAAGCGTTAATAAAGTGAGCAAGATCACGAGTTAGAATTTTTCCTATTTAATAATTAGTCATGGATTTATTTGTTTGTGGTTATAGAATGGAACATTCAAAAGAATTCGAAAAAGCCGCCGGATGGGCCCTTTTTCATGGGTTGACAGAAAGAGCAATTAAAGCTTTAAATAATAGTCAAGGTGATTCGAGTTTATTTCAAATTATTGTTCGTTTTTCGTGAAATTACATAAAATGGTATAAACCTGTATTTATATTAATTATCATAAAAAGATGAGAGACTGAAATTAGTATCAGCAGCATTAGCTGGGTATGCTATTCACAACCAAGACGAATCTTATCAACCAAATTCTCTGTGGCGTGAAATGTGTCGTAACCTAAGTCTTGAAATGCGAGAACCGTATCTACGAGCAATGTTCTCGTATATTGCATCTGGTCATTGGTTTGATGTGCTGCAGGAGGAAAAATTGTCATTGGGAGATCGTATTGGAATCGCATTACGGTTTTTAAATGATAGTCAGGTATTATTGGTTGATAAACTTCCATTGTTTATTATTACTATTACTAAATTCATTTTGTTATTTTTTATATAGCTTGACGCGTATATTAATGAGACTACAACAAAAGTGATGTCGGCGGGTGATATCGAAGGAATTGTTTTGACTGGATTAACTTCAAAAGGCGTCAATCTTTTTGAACAGTATGTAAATAATACAGGAGATGTGCAGACAGCAAGTTTGGCGCTTAGTTTCTGCGTACCTCGACAATTCAAGGATAATCGGGTAGTACAATGGGTAGAAAGGTAAATAATCCTTATCATTATTATTGGCAAATATTTTTTTAATTCCTAACATTTAGCAAGTTTTTATCGCATTAAATTTGTTTATAATAAAGCTATCGTCAGCTTCTCGACCAATGGGCAATGTTTCATGATCGTGCAAACTTCGACATCGAGCGCGGAAAACATATTGGCCCAAATCCAGCTGGAATGGTTGCCCCTCAAGTATCAGTACGATGCAATTTCTGTAACCATAGTATCGTGCATGGAACTTTTTCCTCGTCGCCATCCGCTGCGCGTCCTCCATCGAAAGGAAAAGACGGAAAACAGAGACAGGGAGGGGGTCCGACTATTTCTGCAAAGGTATTTTTTTATTTTTCATTAGGATTTTGTTATTATTTCTGATTTCTTTTCTTCTTTCAGTTTGATTGTTTTTCTCTAATGTGTTGGATTTTTTATTAATACGGCTTTATTCTCGGTTATAAAGAAGGCTACTTGTTGTCCTGATTGTCGTAAACCGCTTCCACGTTGTGCTATTTGCCTACTAAGTCTTGGGATGCCAATTGATTCTCTACGTGAATCATTTTCAAATGTATCAACTAGTTCATCAGCATTTGATGGTAGGCGAAAATTAATCAATCAAAAACACAAATTTCTTTTCTTAAAATGTTTCTCTATTCAATTCTCGTTTTTAAATTATTATGTGATAAAGGAGCGTCAAATTTCGACCTATGGTTTACTTGGTGCCAAACATGTCGACATGGAGGCCACGCAAAACATATATCACAGTGGTTCCAGAAACACAAGTTCTGTCCTGTTAGTGATTGTTCGTGTCAGTGTAATAATATGTGAAAAGTATATGTATATATATGTATAATTATTTTTTAATTACTATATATGTAGATGTTGATTATGCCTTTTCCGATTTATTTATTGTTATTTTTATGGATTTTTATGAAGTATCAGCCCCATTTAATTCTTTTCTGATCTGATCGAATACTAAATTTTTAAATACAAATCCATTTGATATTTCTATATGAATTGAATTATGATAATAATATCATGTTTATCCAGTTAGATTTTTTAGTTAGATTTTTTTAATTTGATTTTCAAGATAATTATATAAAATTTAATTATAAATCTTTTTCAAGGATTTCAAATCATTTTTGATTTGCTTTAACAACTAAATTTATATATCAATATTTATAATATAATCCAGTAAGATTTGCAGATATTTTATTATAATAATATATTATTAATGTAAAATATAAAAGTAAAATTAATAAAAATTAAAATTGAAGCTTACAAGTTTTTTGACAAGTCGATTTTTCTTGATTTATAAGTTCAAATTTTTATATAAAATTGAATTAAATAATAAGTGTTTTAATATAAAATAAAAGCTACATAATAACTTATCAAATTAATATATTACTTTTAAAATTTACTATTAAAATATAGTAAAATTAAAAGTTTTAATATATTGTTATGATTTAATATTGTTTTTTTATTACCTTATTGAATAATTATATTTTTAATTATTATTAAAAATTTGAATTTCAGTTAGAATTTCTATTAAAATTTCAATTTAAATTTTTATTTGAAATTCAATTCAATTTGTATTTTTATTGGAGATTTAATTTATTTATAAATAGTATATGTTTTAGCATTAGAAAAATAACAAGAAGAAATTTGTTATTTGTTTCTATTTTTTTTAATTCATCTTATTAGCTAAAATAGCTAGTATTTTTATATTTTAATTGCAAAATATTATATTTTGTTTTATAATCTTTTATCTTAATTATAAAGTTATAATTTTTATAATTAATTTTTCATTTTAACTGTAAAGTTATAATTATATGATTGAATTAATAAATAAATAATTAATATTTTACTTGTTTATAAATCAAATTTAAAAAGAATATAATTATCTTTGAATATTTCTAATCTTATTATAGCTAGTCTATAATTATATTATTTACTTTTAGATATTATATTTTTTCATTTCATATGCTATTTATATATTCATTTATAATTAAACTAAAAATCATATAAATAGTAATAATATATATAGAAACTAATATAATTATAAAATTATATATTTAATTTTATTAATAAAACATAATAAAAATTAAATATTTTTTCAGATTTTTTAGCTTTAATTTGATAAAGTTATTCTAATTGTATATAAAGTCAATTATTTTTTTATATATTTTTATTATAAAAAATAATTAATTTTATATGTAATTAAAATAACTTTATTAAATTAAAGCTAAAAAATCTGAAAAAAATATACATTAAAATATATAATATTATCTTTATTGTAATATAAAAATAAAAAATATTTATTAATAAAATTATATAAAGAGAAAAACTCATATTTTTTGTATTTTTTACTATATTTTATTAATAAATTTGTTTTAGGGTTGCATTTTTTTTCATTGCTATTATATATTTTAATATATATTCTTCTAGATTTTTTAGATTTTATCCAACAAAATTATTGCAAACTTTTTTATAATCAATTTTATATTTTAATTATAAAAATTTTGCAATAGTTTTATCAGATAAAAATATAAATAATGATTTTCATTTTGATATAAAAATAAAAAATATTTATTATATATAATTATATAATTTTATTAGTTATTACATATTTTTTAAATTTAATTTGACAAAATTATTCTAATTGCAAAATTATTGTAAAAATTTTTATAATTAAAATAAAAATTTTTGCAATAACTTTGTAATTAAAATAATTTTATTAAATTAATAAAATTTAAAACTTTTATATAAGACAAAGATTTTAATTTTTATTATGTTTTATTAATAAAATTGCACACATAATTCTATAATTTTGTTCTTTTATAATTATACTTTCTTCAAGAAAGATGATTATAAAAAAATTTGATTATATAAAACAATTACAAATTTTAAAATAATTAAAAACTATTAGTATTTTTTTAAATATGCTAATTTCTTATAAATTACAAATTAAAAATATTTTTGTTTATAATCACAGTTTAAGTTATTTATTATTAAATAACTATAAATAAAAAATACTTTTAGTCTTAATTTGAGAGATAATTATTTTGAAAAACCAAAAATTTGTATTATAATTGGTAATGTACTTCACATAAATCAGATAATATTAAACAATTAAATATTTATCACTTTTTTTTGCGAAATTTTAATATTCCACTCCTCTGGACATGAATGAACGATTGCAACGATGATACATTCATGTTACTTTGAAAGTGGTTAACTAATAAATTAGAGTTTTCATATCCTAAATATAAAGCAGACATAGTGGACTTACATACCACTACTACACTCATACCTAATGAAACCCATATATTATATTTTTGTTATCCATTCATTCATTTCATTAATATCTACAACTTGATATGATCTCATTGTGAAATATAATTATCACAAAACTGATTATTCGGCGGACACATTTATCATTTTAATGAAATAATAATATCAATAAATAATAACTATAATAACTATCGAATAGTTTAATCATCAAAGAGACCTAAATAAATCAAAATTGTATATAATTTTCATTGGTAAATAATTTTCCAAAAACAATTCAAAAGAAGTAATCAAAATAATAATCGTACCAAAGCCCATGTCATTGTCCGATTCTTCTTTTTCTTCTTCTTTTGGTTTCTCTTCTTCAACAGGAGCAGCTTCAGTAGCACCTCCAGCTGCAGCACCACCTCCGCCTGCAGCTGTTGCTGGGCCACCTATATAAAACAATAATTATAACTAGTTATAGAAAATCCTAATATGATATCAAGTAACAATAATAATTAATGATAATTGAAATTACCTGCTCCAATATTAAACAATAAATCGTTTATATTCTTGCCTTCGAGTGCTTTTGCAAAGAGAGAAGCCCATACAGGTTCTACGTCTACGCCTGCGGCCTTTGTTAGAGTCTGTAGTTTCTCTGCCTATTATACAAAATATGTAAATATCTAGTGTTTGATCGAGTGTTTTTTTTTTAGTTTACCGTAATGTCTACACCGTCGTCGGCGAGGATAAGTGTAGCGTATACGATAGCTCGTTCGTTTGTTGATCCTTCTGCCATTTGTTCTTTTTTATTAAAGCTTTATGAGTGAAAGAAGATCGAGGATAAATGGATGAGATGGATGGAATGGATAGGATGAGAGATTCGTTTTAAAATTTTATTTTTGAGGATCAACAAAAATGCATGTTGATTAGGTAACCACAAATTCAAAACTCGAGCTTTCAAAATGGCGGACGAAGAAACAACCTTGGGTAAACGCGTCAGAGAACAAGCTGAAGAAGAAGAGCAAACTGCTGAGTCGCAAGGTATAAATCTATTACACGTTTTTTAAAGTAAAACATATCATTATTACCTGTAAATTTGCGTAAAGCTTTTATTATTTGAACTTTACGTTTATTAATAGATCATGAAGTTGATATTGGACCTGTTCCACCGTCACTCGATCAATTGCCAAAAAAGAAAAAGCGAAGTAAGCAAAATTGCTTCAACAATTTGCCTATTGATATTCTTAGCAAGAGCTGTACCTTAATTTTTAAAAATTCAAATCTTAGCTTTAGCTCATGAAAAACTTTATCTGGGCCATTTGCCTTCAGCTGATATGTACGAAAGGAGTTACATGCATCGAGATGTGTTGAATTTCGTGCATATCACAAAGTAATATTAAAGAAATGGTTACATGATTCAATATAAGATTCGATCATTTGGTATTAATTGTGCAAAAAACCAATCATTGTTTAAAAAGGACCGATTTTATTATTACCACATCGGTTGATGGGCATTTGAAATTCTGGAAAAAAACGGAAAGAGGAATTGAATTTGTTAAGCATTTCCGATCGCATCTAGGTATTTACCACCCTTTTTAATTGGATCGACGTATTTTCCACTTTTTATACGAATTATTTAATTAATATTGGTTTATAACTATGTAAATAGGGAATATCACGGGTATAAGCGTATCTTCAGATGGTCTATTACTGGCGACCATTGCCGTCGATAAGGCCCTGAAAGTATACGACGTGATAAATTTCGGTATTTATAAAAAGCTAATTTATATTTAACAAAAAACAAGGAAAAAAATTGTATATCTGATTTGGACTAATGTATAATTTTGGATTGTTGAAAGATATGATTAATGTGGTCAAATTGGATTATATTCCAAATAGTGTCTGTTGGGTTCATAAACGAGGGCAGGCTCAAGCATTAGTTGCATGGTAAATTTCTTTATATGTTATATAAATTTTTCTTGGATTATATTATTGTTTTCTGAAGTGGGCTCTTTTATTATAGTACATTTGCTGATACCGTGTAAATTTAATATAATAATGTAAATTAGTGCAGATCAGGACTCCGGGAATATATTTATCTATGACGGTCGAGGTGACGGAAATCCATTGCACACACTACCGAAAATGCATTCACATCCAGTGCAAATTATGGCAGTATGTTTTTATTATCTTTTATTTATTATGTATTGTTATATTTCTCTAACGTTTACGAGATTTATCGAATATTTATTCTTGTTAGTATAATGAGAAATATCATTGTGTTGTATCAACAGATATATCTGGTATGGTCGAATATTGGGAACCAGAAAGTCCATTCGAATTGCCAAAGAACCTGGCTTTCAAATTCAAATCCGATACAGATTTATACGAATTTAAAAAAGTAATGAAAAAAACAAAACTTGTCGATTTTTTCTTATCAGTTAACAACCGATTCTCATCGATTACTTTAACGTATTACTCAGGCACAAACATCACCGAATTCGCTTGTATTCTCGCCTGAATACACCCACTTTGTCACGATGAGTGTTAGTGATCGGCAAGTGCGCGTGTTTAAATTTCTGACAGGAAAACTTACGCGTAAATACGATGAATCATTGACGGTCATAAGTGAAATGCAACAGGTAAATGTATTTTTTTTTTAATTGTTTATATATCTGTCTTCAATTTATATATGATGGAGAACTACAATCAATGAATGTATGATTATTTGTTATAACAAATAGGCTGGTACTTCTATATTTAAATTGGATGATATGGAATTTGGACGTCGACTAGCCGTCGAAAGAGAATTGGAAAAATCGCCACAATCAGCCACAATGAATGCAGGTAATTAATATAAACCATTCCAACTCGAATGAAAATACTTGAACACAATATTTTATTAATAGTGTTTTTTTCCCTACCGTTTAACTAGTGTTCGATGAGAGTGGGAATTTCATTATTTATCCTACAATGTTGGGAATTAAAGGTGGATTATATTATATTTCTCGCGAGATCAAATCAAAAGATATTTTGACTTAATTTATTCTTTATTTGTATACATGGTATACTCAGTTGTTAATCTCCACACCAATAAAGTTGTGAGACTCATTGGAAAGACAGAAACACATCGATACCTAAATATGTCGTTATATCAGGGTGCGCCAAAGAAGAAAGCTGTCGTTACTTTGGTAAATATAATTTGTATCGAAAAATGAAGGTCTGATTGCTGAATTGATTAATACTAGTTAAACAATTAGGAAATGGCTACATCAGATAATCCTTTGATGAAAGAAAGTGAGTCGACCGATCCAACATTATTTTGCACCGCATTCAAAAGAAACAGATTCTTTATGTTCACAACACGAGAACCTGATGCGTGAGTATTTTTCTATTTTGAAACCACCATACATATATTATTATAACTAGTAATAAAACCGTTTTTAATAGCCAAGACTCACATAAAGGTGATCGTGACGTATTTAACGAAAAACCTTCACGTGAAGAACAAACAGTAGCCAGCGCCCAACCTACAAAGCAGAAACTGGGCAACAATGCGATTCTGCGTACCACAGCTGGCGACATTCATATTCGCTTGTTCCCGGAATATGCGTCAAAAACAGTCGAGAATTTTGTGACGCATGCGAAAAGTGGGTATTATAATAATGTCATTTTTCATCGGGTGATTAAAGGATTTATGATACAGACTGGGGATCCTCTCGGTGAGTGTATTGTTATTAATAATAATCTTTTAAGTGGATTTTTTAACGTTACAATCTGACACGTGTTCTTAGGTGATGGAACGGGTGGTGAATCCATATGGGGTACAGATTTCGAGGACGAATTTCACAGGGATCTGCGTCACGATCGTCCGTACACTGTTAGTATGGCAAATGCAGGTCCTAACACAAATGGATCACAGTTCTTTATAACTGTAGTGCCTACGGTAAGAATTTTTCGTTTTTGTATTTTGTTTTACCTATGTCATCTATAATTGTATCTTTCTTTTAAAAAAGCCCTGGCTAAACAACAAACACACAATCTTTGGTCGTGCTACCGCCGGGATTGACGTGATTCTCGCAATAGAAAATGCAAAGACCGATAAAATGGATAAACCGTACGAGGATATCCATATTATAAACATTGAGATACGATGAAAACTTTATATGTAGATTACTTAGATTAGAAGCTCTTTAGCATAAATATATAGTTGATTTTTTTCTCTGGAAGAAGGTATGAATGAATGAAGTTACTATTTGGTATTTGAATAATGATAAACTAATACAACTTTAATAGATAACAATGATGTACAATTAAATTATAGTACTCTACCAGCCTCTCAACCAATGTTCAGAGTTATAATAGATGATATATTAGCATTATACAATAACATTATTCGATTTTCTTCGAATTATAATTGCTTCCTTCAGCAGATGCAAAAGTTAAAGCAGACGTGAATATAAAAATCAGAGATGCAAATGTGACAAGATTTCCAAGTTTCCGTATCTGATGTTGCTTTCTATACTCTTCCATCAATTCTAAATTTTTTTTACGTTCTCTTTCTGTGTGACGTAACTCCTGACCATAATGTCTTTGAAAATGTTCATCGAAATTGAATTCTGGTGATTTTTTTTGTCCGTGAAAGTGAAACCCATTTCCATTACCACTATTTCTACCACTACTACGAGCATTAGGCCTATAATAGTGACTTGCTTGTGAGGCACCTTCTCCATAGCGATAATGATGATGTTTATGATAGCTATCACTACTAGTATTATTAAAATTTTGCCGATTCCCTCGAGGTCGAAACGTACGTCGATGATTCCTAATAGATCGATCATACTCTCGCCTACTACCATCATCAATCAACACTGAATACGCTTCATTGATTTTGAGAAACTGCGCGTGCGCTTTCTCGTCCCCGAGATTCATGTCTGGATGATATTTTTTCGATAGCTTGTAGAATTGTGACTTGATTTGTTTTTGGGTCGCGTCTGGTGCTACTTCAAGTGTTTCATAATGTTTTCGAAAATTCTGTGCGGTATGTGAGAAGCAACCATATTGTAAAGGTAGTTCTGGAAACTTGTAATGCTTGTAGTTGCTATGTCTTTCAAGTAGAAAGCAAGTGCGCGTTGACGTGCAACGCCGCAGGTAATTTGTCATCGCGGAGGAAAAGAGTGAGATTTTCGTTCAAACATAAATCATAAAAAATACAGACAAAATGACTAATTATAATTTGATGACACTTCTGATAAATTTCTCAATTCAAAGTTATTTATCAAAAATAAAAGCACTTAGGTATTGGTTCTCATAACTTTGCATTCTTATATTTAGTAACTAATAAATTAAAACTTTATAATGAAAGTTTAACATATATTTTTTAGATTTTTAAAATTCAAATTTACTAAATTTTAATTATAAAAAGTTTGTATAACCAACTTTACAATCTGAAATTAAATTTAAAATAATCTATAAAAAATATATGTTAAAATACAGATTCTTAGCTTTATTTTAATATAAAAACAAAAAATATTACTAATAAAAATAAAAATTTCATTATATAAAAAAATTTCAATTTTTATTATATTTTATTATACTTTTTTTTGAATTCCAATAATTTATATATAATAATAATAAAAATAATAATAATAAACTCATTATAGCAATAATTCTTGTTGATTTGAAATTTTATTATTAATTAATTAATTAACCTATAAAAGTTATCAAATATTATATAATTTTTAAATTATAATTTTTGATAATTAGTAATTAGAATTTAATAATTTTTAGTGTATTGGATTTGTTTTATAAAAACAAAATTTTTGCCAGAAAATTGAAACAAAATTACAAATAATTAAATATTGTTATTTTATTAATTATAACCTAATTTGAATTATATATTTTAAATTGAGTCAGGTTGAAATCAAATTTGATTTGAGATATTTTAAATTAACCTAAAAATAATTATTTTTTATTTAATATTAATTCAAATTAAATGACAATTTGTAAATATATATATACTTATATTTTAAATAACTTTATTTCAGATATAAAATATAAGTATTTAGTAAAAATAAAATTTATTAATAAAAAATTATAAATTTGATCTGATTTGAAAAAATAGAAATTTAATATTATTACTTATTAAATTAATTGTAATAAAAATTTAAATTAAACATTTTTTTAATTAATTAATTAGTTAATTAATTAATTAAATCAAATTAGTTAAGAATAATTTATTAATTTATCTAATTACAAATTGAATTATTCAAATATATACTATTTTTTTTATAATTTCTATAGAAATTTTAATAATAATTTTTCTGGAAAAAATTATTAAAAGATTTTTTTTAAATCTAAATTAAATCTAATATTAAAAGTTTTATAAATAATATATTAGTTGAAATTTCTAAATAACATTTTTTATATTTTATAAAATTTCTAAATAATATTTTTTGTTTTGTTTTTTGTTTTTTATATTTTATAAATATTAATTATTAAAATTGATAAAACTAATATAAATAAAATAATTAACAATTATTTTATATATTTGTTTTTTAATTTATTAAATTAATTAGATTAGTTAATCTATTTTTTATTCAAAGCTAATATTATTTTAGATTAATAATTTTTATAATATTAATTTTAATAAAATATTATATAAGTAAAACAAATAATAATAATAATAATAATAATAATAATAATAATAATAATAATAATAATAATAATAATAATAAAAACAAAGATAAATAAAAAACTGATTAAATTAATAATTTTATAGAAAGTATTATTATAAAAAATTATTGGAAAAATTAAATCAAAAAATATAATATTCAAGAAAAACTAAAGTTATTATAATTAAATATAATAAAAGAAATAAATAATTTCTTTTTCAAAATTGAAAATATTTAATATTAATGATTAATATTATTAATATTAAGTTTTAATTAATAATTAAATAAAAAAATTTCATGTTTAATCAAATCAATATTATAATTGAATATTAATATTATATAAAGAAAAGAAAACAAGTATTTTAATTAGTTTCGAAAAGAAAAAAAGAACTAAATATAATTTATATTGTTTTATTATTAAATATAAAAATTTTACTATTATTAAAAGTAATTACTAAACTTATCCCAAGTTAAAATATATCAAGTATAAAAACAAATTCTTAAATTACATTGAAAAATATAATTATAATCTAAATTAATTTTAAACTTATTTTTAATTAAATATGAAAAAAAATATTTTTATAAATATAATAATAAATTTAAATAAAAAATTAAAAATAAAATAACTTATTATTATAATAAATATTATAAAAATAACTTTAATAAAATTAAAAATTTTGAATTTTGAGATAATATTTCATGCTTATTATATAAAAAATATATTTAATAAATATAATTAAAATAATATACTAAATAAAAAAGAAATTTATAATAAAATATACAAATATATTATTATCATTTTAAGCTTTTATATATAAAAGTATTTTAAAATGGCAATAATAACTATATTCACAGTAATTTACTTTTGAATTTACAATTAAATAATATTTATAATAATAGAATAATATTTTTTGACAAGATAAAAATGATAATAATAAGACTAAACTAAAAATAAAATTAAACTAAAAAGAATTTTAATCAAAAATTACTTTTAACTTCAAAATTAAATTAATTTAATATAATTAAATAAAAAAAAACTTAAAATCAAACTAAGAAAACTTAAATCAAACTTGGAGAACTTCAAATATAAACTAGAAAACTTGAGTTTTATTAATTATTAGCACTTATATTTATATATATTTTCATGTTATAATAGTATAATATGATATAATAATATGCAATATGATGCAGTTATAGTATATTAGATTTACATTAATATTATAAAGTTATTAATTCTTTTTTAAATTACACAAAATTTAATTGTTCTATACTAAAGTACTGTTATATAATGGAATTTCACATTAATTATTAGTCAAAATTATCATTTAATCTTATTGGATAATTTTGAGAGCACATGTTTATATTTAATTAGTTAAGATCTTCTTATTTACATTTCGTATTATATTATTATTTGTACTATTATTTATATTATTATTTGTATCACATTTATATTATTATTTACAAATAATATGTA